ATGAAATTTTATAATTGTACATATAAATGATAAATTGATAACATGTAAAATGTTTCTTCATAACCGTTTTTATAAGTCTCATGGTTGGAACTTAGTCTTTTATTTTTTTACAATTTATACCATAATACGGTCAATGGCAATGGCTTCACGTCACTGATGCTATCGATGTATGATATATTATTTGCTTACCATAATGTAACTTAAGGACAGTTGGCCACCAGGTCTATGAATTCACGGCGGTAACAGAGATAATATGGTTCTGTATATCGAGTTTTTTGAATCTAAATTATTGAACTTGGCTTATGTCCAATACTATAGCCAGGACAAGTAAAGAAAAATAGGAATGAAAATTTCAAAAATATAAATTTAAGCGTAAAAGTTTTCAACGGAACTTTGAATGCTAATAATATACGTGCACAGAATAAACATTCCTATACGGATTCAGTATAGGTATATGGACATATTTGTTTATGGAAATAATTGCTTATGTACCTATACAGTCGATTGCATTTGTTAAAATAATAACACTATTCACGAGTATAGTAATCCTATGAAAGTAACGTTTGCGCTAAAACAGTAAAACTTATATATATATTGTTTAGAAATGATTACGTTTTATAGTAATGCACCTACATAAAGAATAGTACGTATATACAAAATAACGTGGATTTACAAAATTGATTTTAAACACGTCATAAATTAATAGTAAAAACATATCAAAACCAYTGGAACTCAATATATTTCAACATCAATCTGATGGGACATTATAATATATCCAGAAAAATAAATTTACATCTTGCCCTCTTATACTTGATTAGTAAGGATCCCATTAGATCAATTGAATAATTTAGAGCATAATTATCCACTATTTCACTTCCCAAAATATTCAACAACAAACCATCTCATTSTTTTCGACAATCCAAACACAACAGAAGCTTCAAATCAACTGAGTATATATTAAAATTTTGTAAACATATAGACTTTGATAAATAAAATTATAATCTAAACCAATAATAATGCATTAAATATTAATTTAACACTATATAATATGCTAATAATCTATGTCGATGAAGTTTATACTTAAACAATAATTATAAAAAAGAAACTGTTTTCTATAAAATAATAATATAATATTCTGTTGTACGTCGAATGTTGACCAAAATACGGTAGGTAGGTATACCTATATATTATTATATGATACATTATATTTTTCATGTTTGCGATTAATAACACGYGAGTCTATATRCATATACCTCGGTAAATGTTATTTGACGATTTTGATGTAGCTTATTATATACCTATYTATTGGGTGTAAAATATATTATCGTTGATAAGCACCTATAGCAATAATATTATATACAGAAATCAACACAGCGGAAATATTTAGAACAAAAATTAATGATATGGCTGGTATAAAATCGTAATGCATGCCAGTAAAATACATTCGTAGATACTGCTCACTGCAGAAGTGCAGCTAGATATGCCTATATATGCCTATGTATAAATATAATAGGCATCGGCAGAGGCGTCATAGGTGATGGATCTGTTTGGTATTTTTATGGGTAGTGGGCATATAGTTCCTRTTGCTGATTTCTCCCAGAATAGGTTGTAGTAAAACAAAAAAAAAATAAAAAAATAAATAAAAAATGAATATAAAAGAGGAGATATCATTCCGAGCTATTCGCAACAACACGGTTTTCGTGCACGGTCCGGCGGTACTCATACTTGCATGACCTATGAATATCATAATGCAAAATGATGGTAGGCAGGCACTTAGGTAAAACATAATTTCTACGATGAAAAAAAAAAACGATGTGGTACACGACGTTAATGTTCATAAATGTAAGGTCTACATATTATATTATATAGGTAAGTACAACTGTTTTGAATAATGCATGATGAGATCTAAAGAGTACCTACACGCACACCTGTGTACCTATACTGTGGAGCGTTACAGCTCACAACTTGTTTTACGCAAYGTGCGAATAYAATTCCTGCCTAATGTGGTTTTCTSATAAATTATTACGAATCGTGAAATAATAGATACGAATATCGGAATATTGTTATCTGTTGAGTGGACTTTTTTAAACTAAAAAAAGGTAACAAAAAAACAAATTTATTGTACATTGATGTATTACGTGTATTATATTATGTCGCGGTTATTACTTATTAATTGTTTTATAAAACAATGATTATCGGCTAAATAATTATATACTAAAAATGTAGATCGCTGCTTACGAGTCGCGTCCCCTATAAAAAGTTATAAAGATGAATTTTTAAAACATATAACTGCAGATCTTCTATCATTACATTTTAGTAGATTCATAAAAAAGTTATCTTTCAAATTTCTACCTATACCATAACATTTTTACCAGAATCGAAATTACAAAATACATATCAATAAACATACAAAAAACATATTTATTATTAATAGGCAATTATGGTAATATATTTTATACAGTTACTATTATAAACGCAATAATACAATAATAATATAAAAATCAAAAACAATATTTTTAACCTACCTGTGGTGAAATTATAATTACAGACAAGCCTTAAGTCTGTATAAAAACGGTAAGAGAAATATTGTTTAGTTTTTATAACATATACGCGACGTGTAATTGATATGTACCTACAAAAAAAAAAACTGGGATACAACTATAGTTGGTATTACTCCTATACAATGGCGTGGCATATATAGAAATTAATTTCTTCGAGGGGGAAGGGGTAACAAAAAAATTTATATTTCATCACCCTCTTAAATTCTAATTATTTATGACCATACCAACCAATAACAACCATACATTAGCGGGAGGGGGTTGACCCCCTCTAAATACGCCACTGCYCCCATAAATACCCGAGACGCAATTATGCGTATATGCAGTCGTGTGATTATATTACGATATATTGCAATATTGTATATTAAATAAAATATAATACATTATATAAATGTATAGCATATAAGTACATCGATCATGTTTTAAATTATTTTCGGTGAATTAATTATTTTCGTCTCTCCGCGAGAAACATCTCTGTCTGTCTCTAGCACCTATTTTCCTATTTATTATTATTATTTTGCATCAACTTACCTGTTGATCGGCAGCCGACTGAAACAGCGTCGACAGCCAATGTTGACAAACGGCAGTCGCGTGTTGTAAGTCGACGACCGCCATGAAACAAGCAACGGCCACCACGGACAGGACTGTCACCGTGGTACACGACGGCCGTCCACCGGATGRCGACGCGGTTATCCGACGACGGGAACCCACGGTTGGCTTCTTCCTGTCCGTGGTGTCCAACATCCCGTCYGTCGCCGTTTCGTTGTTTCTTTTACACGACTTGGAGTCGATCGTCGCTGCCGCCGGCGTTTCCTTCATCACTCGTTTCCGGCTGGTGGCTAAACGATGATTACTGTAACCGCGGGCGTGACAGACGTCCCTTGCCGATCCCGTCCACCGAATAGTCCCGATCGCGGACGACGGTGACCGACGAGTTCGACTTAAATGCCGAACGATAGACGATAATACATGAGCACAACACAGCAGGGTCGGGCGAGATATTATAAGAAAAGCAGGAAAAAGTACCTTCTAGAAGGCAACAATATATTATAGGGATGGACAATATAACACTTTATAATATRTAATAATATATCATACATAGTTCAATGGGGTGGACGAATCGCTGCTCGCGCATCGGCTGCATTTTATAAATAGGTTTTTTATTTTCCCTGATTTTCATATCAACTGTAGACTGCATATATCATAAATATAATGCCATCAAATATAAATGGTGGGAATATTTTAATATTAAGAAATGTCAGGCCATTGAACCAAAATGTGTGGTGACAATATTATTTGCTATATAAAATATAACATTGCCGCACGCGCAGCCAATAGAGGCTGGTTTATGCTGAGTGTTTTCAGTGCGTGTKCATTTCGTATATAATGATCGTGCTAGTGAAACGACGGTGGAAATACGGGCTAAGTATTATAAGTGTATTTTATGTTTTTGTACTACTTCAAATTATTATTAAAAGTGTTTCCGCAACCTTTTAAAAAATTATCTTTTGTTTCACTGTTTTAGTAATCACCCAACTCTTCCGTACTCCTCCAATCCGATCTTTAACCGGTTAATTTATGCTCGTTGATGTTTGAWAGTCTGAACAGTAAGATACCGATATCGACTTCTCGAGAGCCAAACAGTAGTAAGCTGTTAATTTATGGTATTKTGGTAACTCAAGTGTCGATTGTGGTATACTAGCTATACCCGAAAGGTTGGGTACGACAATATAATTGTTCATTAAATGGTGCTGCCGCCTGCCTACGATTCACTTACCTAATTTAATCGTCACCTCTGTAATATATGATTGGTATTGGTATTACTGCATAAAAAATAAAATAAAATTTATTGTTCAATGCATTCCATCATCATTATACTATATAATATGTACAAAAAATGAAATTTAACTTTTTTAAATACTAATAATTACTAATGGGTAGGTCGTAGGTGATATTATACAGGGTGTCTCGGGAGGATTTACCCTTTGCGATATCTCACGAAATAATGGAGATATCAAAATGCTGGTTTTATAATAAGATTTACAGGGATAAGAATTACAATTATTTCATTTTTAAATTTATTTTAATGTTTTTGTAAAAAATTTAAAAAAATATATTATATTTTTTTATATAATTATTTCTAAAAAATTAAAGATAGCCATTTTCTAAAGTTTATTTTTCTGGTATATATAGGATTTTTTGTTAATTGTTATAAATGTTATGATAATTATTTATTTCTTGATATAAGGATTCAACGCAACCGTTTATAAGCTTTGTTTATGTTTGAATTTGATTTTCTGTTATATTTATGATGTATGTATTGCATCTCAAAAAATAAATACATATTACATATTATTATTATTAATACAGCAAATAAAGTGAACAATATAGTAGGTACTTCTTCCTTAATTTTTTCAGGGTAATATTTATTTCTGTCCAATATATGTACGATGATATGCGAGAACACGTCCCTCGTACTTTTAAGGACGAACACCAAAATATTTAATTTTCGAGTGGTATTTATTAGATAACAAATGATTATCAAACAATTTGTTGTGTGGTATACGTCAATTTCTTTAGAAATCACATTAAAAAAAAAAAAAAAATGGAATTGAAAAGGACGATATCACCTAAAAAAATTTAAGTTTTTTTTAAATTCGCAGATACAAGTGGTGGATAGTGAATACCTTTTTAAATGTATACATATATGTTATGCCGTTATGCGATATTGGTGGCTCAAATATTGTGTGTATTATATTTTGTTGTTAATAACAGATATTCACTACTCAGTGAATATATCAGTTTATGGGAACTATAAAATAACTTAAATTTGCATTTAATGACTAACGTCTAACAATATTTTGTGACATCTATGTGACAATAGTGTGTGAAATTCTGAGTGTGATAATAATACATATTAATTATGTCTGAAGTATGCCGTATGTTCGTCTACCGTGTATTCCTTTAAAATTATCCATTGAATGATACTAACTCCATTTAATCATATATGTTATTTTATAATAGCGTATTGTCATTAATGCTGCTAGTTTTCAGTAGAATGATTCTACAGAAAACTAGACATATTATTATTTTTATATTCAAAACTACTTTCCTTATTTTGTTTTATACTTTTACATTTAAACTTTCACTCATTACAGTACCAAACCGRAATGTTTCATTTTCTTTATTCATAATTCGCATTTCACATAATATTTTAAATGACTTATGCAGTTTACACATGTTAAATATAATTAATAAATTTGCTAAATAGCTACTTGTATAAAATTATATGTAATACGATGATCAAATCTATATAAAAATTGTAAACAAAATATGTACCTATTATACACGGTTGCATGATTTATGGTTTGGAATATGTTTTTAGACGTTTGTATATAATCTACATTAGTCCAATTAAAATATTAAATTTAAATAATTCCATGATAAGCCACCATGAATTAGTAGATTTTTAATATCAGTGTGAATCTAATAGTATTATAGGCGTTTTTGGTAAAAATATGCTATAAAAAAATTAAAACGATGAATAATTTACAAACAAAATTAGTTAATTTAATCATATAGTTAACATAATCTTTACCGTGTATCATATTATATGGCCAATTTCACAATAATATTCTGAAATAATTCAATTGTTTAACACGTGTAAAAGTTTATGATTTTTAAATATATTTATAAATTATAATAATCAACACTTGAACTACCATAATATATTATAATTTCAAAAATAAATCAAACGTTAATCAATCTAACAACATATTTGTAATGTCTTAAAATCGTAACCGTTTATTAAATGTGATTTTGATATAACAGTTTATATGAAATAATTTAAATATCAGTATTTTACATTAACTATATAGGAATAAACTAGGTTGACAAAATATTTTTTTAAGAATCCAAAGCTCATAAAGGATGTGCTTGAAGAAAAAAGTTAAATAATTGCTTTTATTTATACATTTTYTAAGTTCCACCGTTTGCGTAATATTTTTTGTTTATTTCTCAATATGTAGTTAATAACATTGATACTAACTCACTATAGTTCAGTGGTACCCAATCTGGGGGTAATTATCCCCTAAGGGGTAAAAACACAATTTTTGGGGGGTAAAAGTTAAGCTATTTATTTGTATTTTAAGTACTTATTATCCATTTACACATGTGTATTATCACTGTAAATGAAATTGTAATAATATATATTTTGTATTGTTTTTTTTTTTTTTTACTCAATACTTTTTTTGGGTCGGGGGGTATTTATTAATATCTAACCTGACTTATGGGCAATAGTCTCAAAAAGGTTGGGAACCGCTGCTATAGTTGAATACCTCATATAGATCTTTAGACCCGTTATTAAAAACTACTGTGGAGGATTGTATATGATTTCAACCAAGATTTTATGTCTTTATATGTTTAAATAAAGCATTTTAGTAAATTAACGTGCCTGTTATTAATTATTGAACATATTATGCATGTTATAATTATAACATTTGTATATTTCACGAATATAATTATTAATTACATTATAATACATTTTGACAATATATTATAGTTACGCTATCGTTTATATGAGAATCAGAATATTATAATTTTTTGTTGTTTAGATGATTGATTATGATTTATTATATTATACGTATTATAGTGTATAAAAAGGTACATAATACCGGGCTTCAGCTCCCCCCCCCCCTAAATCCAGGAATTGTTTATGAAATTTGCTTATTATGTCCTATCAGATGTAAATTTTCTAACTCATATAGGTAGGCTGAATTGGGAATTTCAGTTGGAGAAAATACCACAGCCCCCCCCCCTCTCACAAAAAAAAAATCTAAATACGCCCCTGGTTTATTCATTTATGACTCACGTGAACCAAAACGATAGAGGTACTTACACGATGACGATTGAGGGCTGTAATAATTATATGACGGCAAGGCGGTTTCAGACAGAACGGTACGATCAGAATTCTGTCGCATAAGTTAGACGACGGCTGTTGGTCTCGAACCATTGATTTTGCAACACTATTCAATGTGTCCTGCAGTTTTAGTATAATTCGTACGAAAATGCTTATTGCCCTTATCATATTTGGCGCATATTATTATTATTATTTCAGATTTAATTTTAATAGTTTATAGATCGAGGCAAAAATCCGTAAAGTGACTCAATCATTTGTCTTAGTTTATCAAGTTATTTATATTATCGTTAAATGAGTAAAAAAATTTTTTTTGACGTATAAAACCACTGTAGTTCTACGTGGTTCTTGTGAACCAGCGGTAGCCTAGTATTTATCAAGCTTATAAATATATTTTTAATAAACTCTTAACTAAGTGTTTGAATAGTTTTAGATACCGAKCGAAATGATATGTAAAATAAATAAATAAATAAATAAAATGCTGTGTTTTCTTGTTTATCATAATATATCGAAGTAGTAAAAAGATTCGGTTTTCTACTTTGGTAGTTTTTGGTAGAAAGTTGGATCCATTACTACTTATAGTATAAAATTTGTGATTTTGCTAGAAGGAGCTAGGGGAGAGAAGGTCAGATGTAAAAGATCCCCAGTAATTTTCAAAATAACTGAAAAAACAATATTTTTTTAAGAAAAWCGAGAATGTTTACACAGACTCAGCTCTCTATTTTTTATTTTTATTTTTATAAAATATACACAATTTGTACAAAATTTAGCGAAATATAAGGGTATGTGGGGATAGAACGAGAAAAAAAAATGTTAAATTTTTGAGCAATAAGTCAACCATTAGTGACACTTAACGCCTAGTATTAATTAAAAGAATWTAAAGTAGTTATACTTTTTTTTCAGTATTGATGATAATTTATAGACTCAGTCAAAAATCTTGAATATGTAATACAATTTCGCACATAAGTTGATCATCTTTTAGGTATTTAAAATACTATATTTTTTTTTCAGCGTTTGAAGTTAATATTTTGACAATATTTACTAATTTATTTTGAGGTTTAAAATGTATAGGTAGGTGCTTATAAAATACATGTAAACTATTTTTAGGTATGCTTGGAAATGTAACACAAGGTGTATCATAACTAATGAGTAATTAATTATTATGGATATATACTGGTACCTTTATTAACTAGATTCATGTTGCCATGTTGGTACCAAAAATATTACTCGTGGGGACTTGAAGCTTTTCTACGTTGAAGGTAGACAAACATAATATTATGAGGAATCTTATATTAAATAAATGTTAGATTTCTATGATTTCTTATATGAATTTCTAWTTCAAAATAATTTGCGAATTTCCGTGATTTTGACGAATTTTGTCTTCGAAGCTTATAAAAAATTACTGTGGATTTACTCTGAACTTTTTTTTTTAATTTTCACCAACATTAACGTATGGGAAACCTGGTGTTAAATTTTCAAGTTTTTTGACTGAGTAAACTTATTTTATCGATATTATTTAAACAGAAACTAAAAAWWMMAAWTKKAAATTGTCATTCGCCATAAATAGCATTACATAAGTCAAAATATTTTGAAAAGTACGATGTATGGTGCATTGAAAATTGTAATATAAAAATTTAGTGAAAAATGCATGTTTCATGATGTAATTTTTTTTTAAAGTTACATTATAAAAGCCAAAATCTATATTAAAACAAACACTGATTTTTCATAAGAATTCCCAGCTCTCCTTAATATTTTCAAGATAACTACTGGATATTAGCTTATTTCGAYTTCTCGATTGCATCAACTATAGATTGTTTATGTCACCAGAAAAGACGCTGAAATTCTCTGCAAAATCGAAACATTGTTATTTTAACTGCTTATATCGTGTAGGTATAGTGTACCTACACACAGACAAAAAAAAAAAAAAAAAAAAAAAAATAAAAATAAAGAAAAACACACACGTCATCATCGCGAAATCAATAAACAATAATACACATACGCTCGGAATGTAATTGTCCAAGCTTCAGAAATGGCGACGACAAAAAATGTCGTTTTGCCAATGAAAATAATATAATTATTGTTTTCAAATAAACGCCAAACACAGGTAAGTATAATGTAGTATGTATGGGTGTTGTTCGAGTGAGGAATCGCGCCGAGAGACGCGCATTATAATAATAATAATAATATTATTAGCACGCGAGCGCATCATACGTGTTTCCGGTGCGTTTTTTTTTCAATGACGTACCTACGGAATAATATTATAACGTACGCACGACGACGACGACGACGATAATAATAATAATAATAATAATGATAAAAATAATAATAATAATAAAGCGGACGCGCGGGCGATACACGGTCTGATAACTCGGAACGTAATTAGACGGGGGCGCGCGGGCGGTTGGCGGCGGTCGAAGGGAGCGGGCGGCGGTCGTCAGCGTTCGCTGGAAAACGGTTTCACCGCCGTTTACTTTTTTATGTCAGTTGGTCAACGCGCGAGATGGCCGCCGCCATCCGGAAGGGACACGCGGAGGCGCCCATTATTTTCGCTGTGCTTTCGGTCGCGCGCGCGCGCGCGGACGATGGGCGGCACGACCTACGCAAGCGCTACGCATACGGTGGTCGGAGCCTCGTCACGCCGTCCGTACCTATATAAGGTGCCGGCCACCCGGTCGGAACCATCAGATCGACGCCGGCAACGGTCTAGCCCGAACACGACCACGAGCAAGCCACCGTCTGTATTGGCCTCCCCGAAATACTCTCTGAAATAATATCAACTACCTACGCTAYATCAACACGATGTCTGTTCCGTCCGTCGCCATGTCGTCCGTTTGCGTGGCCCTGGCCGTTTTCGGTCTCGCCGCTTCCGTGCCTGTCGAACAACAACAACCACAGCAGCAACGTCAAGAGGACGGCGCGGTATCTGTCGGATTCGGYACGGTCCTGTGGTCGGTGTTGGACGACTGTTTCGGCGACGGCGACGCGGCCGAACCAGCCACAGTGTGCCTCAAGTCCAAAGCGCTGACGGCCCTTGACCGGGCACTCGGCARGCCAGCCCTGACCGTCGCGGACGGCGTGACGCTGACCGCCCGAGCAGGCAAGTCGCTGGCCGTCGACCCACAAGCCGACCGGGCTGATCGCGCCGCCCTGGACGCTGCACCGGACGCCGACAGCAAGAACGCCCTGCTGGACGACATGCTGGCCAGCCGCATGGACAGGCTCATGTCCACCAGGACCATCGTGCTGGACGGGGCCGGCCAAGAAGGTGAGCGAATTCGACGCGCGTTACCTATGCTATTGTCTTTGTGATGGTTTTATAACCGATTTGAGTTTAGAAGTGGCCGCTCGGGGTAGGCAATAATAAATTGTACCCATAGGTATATGCGTGGGCGGAGGGGGGTGGATTTAACAATTAAAATCATTTTCATAAATCACAATAGGACATATTAATTGATTTTACACGAAAACACCCCTCCGAGACAAATATAGGTAATRTACGATCAGTTTGATTCATTTAGCTATTTAAGTGATAACGTTAATATTTTAGAAAAATTTCTAACAGTTTTGATAATATTTTAAGCCCCATAGTTTGAGATTTAATAACAAAACAACCATTCCTTTAAAAAAAATTACACTTTTAATCTTTTTAAAGAAAAAGAATATATATATTTTTTACTTCATATGTCAAAACAGAATATTTTTTGAAATATTTCGATACATAAATATTGAATTTCTAATAAGTAATAATTAGTTACAAGTATTTGAACTTTTGATGAACAGAGTATAGAGCGACACAGTGGTATTTTTAATATTATTCATACCAAACTACATTTTGAAGTAGTTCAGTCAAGAAAATTCGCTGTGGTTCACACGGACGTATAATAGGTACGTTTTTTTAACGAACATCGTTTGGTACGTCCGTGTTTGTGGATATCATCGCATCGGTGCCGCCACGTATATAATTATATTAATAAATTTATCAAAATGTAACTTATATTGTGATACGCGTATAGGTGTGTACCGTCGATATTGTAACGTTTGTTGAACTCGAATCGACAGTTACTTAAGTTCGGGAGAAGGAAACAATCAAAAAGTGTTGACATAAGATAAAAATACATTATTATTCGTTTACATTTTGAAGTAATACGATTATTGTTAAGTGAATTCGCATTAGGTAAACCATAAAGTATCTTGACTATATTTGTTTTCACGCTCCACAGCTCGGTGATTTGAACGCCAAAGGTATATATTAATATTCAATTTTTTGGACCTGATTGAGACCCGTCGTCATGTGAGCCGTTGATAGTTTTGTGGCCATTTTAGTAGCGTGTGGATTTAACTTGTATGTCACGAGTTCACATTACATTTCAGACAATATTGTATGACGTTATAACTTTGGTACTATTGCGCACTATACGTATGCATAGAACAACGATTAGTTCGTTTTTAGAACAGTTCGAAGGATTTTTAGGTGTTTACGATACCACCCTGTTACGACTTATATAGTAATACATATTATTGATTTTGTGATTACCCACATCTTCTTGCAATATTAAGTTTATTAAGATATACCTACTGACGATACTGCAGATGCAAGTAAAACTCAGTAATACCACTCAGTAGTAATGGAGTTTTCTAGGGTTTTGGGATTCGATTTTTTTTTTTTTTGGGGGGGGGGGTAGTATATAACTGCAGTCTACCTGACACCGAAGTGAATTAAAAATACAAATATAGGTTGTATAGTGTGTAATGGGTTTAAATTATAAATTATCTTATTTGATTCCTGCAGTAGTCTGTGTTAATAGAAGACAAATTAGGGTGGCAGCTGATAGGTCCCGTAAGAACAAAATATTATTGATCCCTTCAATAACAATAGTTTGTCATCCGGTACCGGATTTTCACACAATCACACAATGATATAGTGCAGCTTCTCAAACTGCCGTTACGAATAGAGTTTAAAAAATGTTTTTGGGTTCCTCTGAAATTTACAAATTATTTAATAGATTATAATAGGTAGCAATCATCTGGAGCATTTTTGACATTTTTCGAGGAGGGAGGGTTGACTCGATTTTTCACTCTACCAATCTAAGACGCCAGTTTTAAAGATTTTTCAAAATATTTAATCCGTAAAAAACTTAAATTGTTTATAGTCTTCAATGCACTGGCTTAAATTATTATTATTACTACTACAATAAACAGATAAATCACATCTTTCGTATTTCGATGTAATACAATCACACGAAATACAAATCCACGGAGGAGGTAGATCGATATTCCCTCTCACCACCATCCTCCCACGAAATTCACCCCAATTGTAAGTCGTATCCTAATTGGTCGGTTTGTTCACAGGTCGGAAGAAGAAAGACAAGGCCATGCATCAGGCCATGATGATGGCCGGTATGATGGCCGCGGCGGTCATGGGCCCGATGGCGTTCAAGATGTTGGCGTTGATCGCCGGCAAGGCGCTGTTGTTGAGCAAAATCGCGTTGGTGCTGTCCGGCATCGTAGCGCTCAAGAAGCTTCTCCAACCGCAACAGGGAGGACACGAAACCGAGTCGGTGTCCCATCACTACGGCCGTAGCTTGCAGAAGCTCGAAGCTCACGACGTGGCTTACTCGGGCCAAAAGCCGCAGTAGACATAAGTTGTCGTGTGATGCTTGGCGCGTTACATTTTAATATTATTTATTTACGCGTGTGCTACTATTAATTTATTATTTATTTATTATTTCATAATACTCTGACCGCGTTGTTTGTACGAATCAAACCGGCCGGTCTGTGAATGAAAATTGAATTCGTTCAAATGTCGCACTCGTGTTGTCTTTTGAAAACTATTATAACCGTTGTCTTATATTAACAATTATTATTACTGATGTTTGTGTTGTTATAGACACATATAGATCTGATAAAGAAAAAAAATCAAAATGTTTAATTATTTCGTCTGTATGTTGTCACCTATAGCCATTTATTGTCACCATAACATAAAAATCTGGTGATTACTATATTTTACTCACTAATAACATTACCATATATTAAAACCACATTTAACATATTATATGCTTAAAACAGATTATTTTATCGTTATGTCTGTACCGTTGGTTACCGGTAACTACATAACTACGATTGCAGTTGATATATATTGTTGATTTTCATTTATTTGTTGTTTATAGTCGCAGTAGGTATGTAAACATTGTATAATATGGAACAATAATATATTACGTTGTATTTAAATAACTTAAGAAATCTGGAATTTAGTACACTCGCAGTATAAGCTTTCCTAGCTTATTTTTTAATTAATTAATTGAATAATATTGCTTAAATTTATTAACCCACCACCGCTCACAAAGACGCACCTACAGGTATAGAATTTGTTTCATACTTATATACTACCTTCAATAATCTATAAATAGGTCCATGATTATTATCAAAGAGTTTAATAGCATTAAGAATATCATGCCACAATCAGTGTCAGATTTAATAGTCGTTTAGTTGGCAAATGCCGATGATGGATGTCACAATGTATATTGGGGCCTAAAGTAAAAATTGTATGATATAATACTTATTACATAATTAATTTTTTTTTTTTTAATTTCTATAGAAAAACAATAAATACATTTCATAATAGAGACAGCAATATAATTTACTACTAGGTTAATTTGATAAAAAAAACACAATTTTATAGGTAAGTATTTTGCACGAGGCCATTCTTATGAATTTCCTACTATTTGAACCCTTAAATCCGTTACTGGCCAGAACGCAGTCACTTTTCCTGTCTTTGATTCCATGGAAATAAATGTTATTATGAACGCACGTGTTCCACTGCAGGTTGCGATTACAACCAAAATAATACATTTATTCGCATTTAAATGTTGAAATACTATTTTAATTACTGAAGGTTTAAAATTATTCCTAAATCTAAATTAAATAAAAATGCCCTATACTCCTATAAATAAGTGTTTGAGAGCCACTGTGGACATAAGATTACAACACCGGTATACAAACATCGCAACGGAACTATCGCGCACAACACATTTCAATAAAATAGAAGTGCTCCGACTGTTACAAATGCATTACATGCTAACAAAAGACAACACGAAACCTATGGATAAGTTAAATTTCATACATTTCATGGACGTTTTTTTAGGAGTGAGAAACGTAGAGTCCGTAGATAAAGTATATCTGCTTTGTGCCGAAACGAACAAGGAATACTTGACTGGTCCCGAGTTCGTCAAAGTATTGTCGTTGTTGTTGAAAGGAACCCTACCCGACTTGATTAACTTTTGCTTCGAAGTCTACACGGAGATGATCAGGTCACCGAAATATATTAAAAAAGAGGACGTTTTACTGATGTCCAGAAGAAACAGCATGAAAATGTGTAAATTAGTCAATATGGAGGAGTACGATCAAAGTTTCGTCGATTTCGTCATGACCGAAGTCGACAAGGATCGTGATAATAGAATATCGCTGGAAGACTACCGTAAATCTGTACACGAAAATGTCGCTTGGTTACAGTTCTTGGGGCAAATTATTCCGTCAAGCAACCAAAAAGAGATATTTATGCGATTATTTACGGATCGACCGCACGTCAATAGTATAAAATCTACAGCTGCAGAAATGACGCGAAAAAATAGGGAGAGTGTAGCTAGAATGACCTTGCTGAAATCGACATTTAGTCAAAATGAAAACACAGCTAGTAGTACGTCATTTTCTAGCGATTCTACTGGTTTGGTAGTTGATCGCAACGACACGGTTCATGTGACCAAAAAAAATAAATCAACATCAGATGGAAATTATTTAACATTATTTTAACAAATCATATATAATATGTGATAACTATACAAATAATAAATAAACATTTTAATAATAATTAACTGCAGCACAGTTATAATTATAAATATAGTTAACTATTTATMAATGTATCATACATGATATTACCTATAAATTAAACGTCAGCGACATACAAATAAGGTAGGTATTGTGTAATTAATTTTACTTTAGAACCTGCGTAGTTATAGGGTTTAAGTTTCCTAAAAATATTATATTTTGTGCACCCAATATTTTTATTATTTTTCATAATTTATTTTGCGTAAGCATATTTACAATTGATTTGAAAAACTGTCACAGATCCTAGAAATATTTCCACTTACAGCTTCGAGTAGCGTTTATCGTATATTGCATTCTCTATAATATTCTGAAAATTTTATAAATAACTTATTGATTATAGCCTAATAAATGTTTTAAGTTTTTACTAGATTAAAGTTCATTATAATCTATTATCGATCTACTTATCTGATTTGAATCATGAAAAAAAAAATGTTAAAAATATAATAATAATATAATATAATATAATATAATAATATAATTAAATATAATATAATATCAATATAATATAAAATATAATAAATTATAATATTCAATATAATAATAATTAGTAATACTATTTTCCATATTATGTGTAGGTACTTATAACTACTGTGATGATAAAATTATTTTTAAAATTATTACGGGATTATAGCACTTACTTTTAAAGTTATAAATGCCAATACATAAATCAACTGTACAAACTACATAATGTACTTATATGTTAAAGTATAATTATCAGACCGGGATTGTATTCCGTCATTTGAATATGCCCAAATTGTGAAACGTGTATTACACAAAATTAATTTTAACAAGATTTCATTTCATGAAATGTTAACCATCACGAAATATAAAATGAAACATTTCCGTTTAGTGAAACAAATGACATTATGTACCAGCTGATACTTATATATAAGTACCTATAACATATGTGTTCAATTCGTGGATCTAACAAAACGATAACATTAGGTGGAAGATGGGTCACGACTATTCAGATTTGAACTTTCAAATTGTATAAAGATTTTATATGCCCCTTTCAGTATTAACCTACATTTATGTATTATATGTATAGTTAAGCTAGTTTAAATAACTTTATCATAACCTACTTCATATTATTTTTTTCTATACCAATCTAGACATTTGTGCAGTATTATGGTGTCTAGATAAGTTATTATCCTTATTAAGTTCTAAATGTGTATAGTTATCTTCATGTATGGTGTTCGGCTGAAGAGGTTAGTCTCCTCAAACGTATTTCAGGTTTCCAAAATAATATTTTTAAGATAMATTTAAAATATAATAGGTACATAGGTTTTATTTTATAGTTATTGGAGTGAATTGCTAGGTATGCACCTAACGTATATACTATATATAGTATTTCTATTAAACAATTTTATATTGATACGTTTGTTGTTGATGTTCTTCAACATGAACTTCCTGTTTGCAATTTTTAAGTCTCCATCCTCAAAAGATTTACCAAGATCCCACCTATGATTCCCTATATACTACTACTTATTACACACAAATTAATCAAATTAGATTCATTGTATACTCTACTMACTCAGTCATTTATAATAGATATATACAATGTATTATAAAGTATTAATATAAGTTATTAAAGAAATTAACTATTTCAATTAGAATATATTATACTCTAGATATTTTAAGTACTTACGAATAATGTTTTTAAATTAAAATGATATAATTAAAATTATTATTCATGGTTATTTAATATATTTAATTTCATCCAAATCTGAACTTAAAATAACTATAAAAAACTATGTTTGTATAGTCTTTAGAAATTTTTTTTTGCAGAATTAACTAATTTCATGGAACCTTGTTTTAAATTTTCAATCTGTTACGGAGAAAATTAATATAACACCAAAAAGTCTTTCCCCAGACCACCAAATCGAACAATATTACATAGGGAACACGCTTACAGAAATGTATTTTAAACAATTATGCCCTCAAATCATGCGCATTCAAGTTGCCTGCTCGCCACTCTCACTCGGCGCTTCACGTATATTTAGTGCGAGTTGAAAACAGCCTTTGTCAAGACCATCTGTACCGATGGTCGTCACAACCATGACAATATCGACGCCAAAGTCTACACCAATCGCGGCTTGGAACCAACGTGACATTCAAATCACGTAGTCGTTGACACATAGGAACAAAGACCGTCGAACCGACAGGCAACTGAGAAGAAACCAACGCAGATCTGGAACGACCACACACTTGGCGACAGCAACTGAAAATGGCCCTTTTTATGGCCACCACCTGAACTCGGCACGGCATTGATTTAAGCTGACCTCTCCGGAACACGTTCGCCGTCGGAATACCGCTTAACTAAACTTGTACCGTCGACGGTCGGTTCCCTCCCCATTACTTGTACAAACTAATATAGGTCAACTGTAATATTGCAGATAAGAGTCCGGTATTCACTCGAATACTCATAAGCGCCGCCGATCGCGTCGATCCATTTATTTAAGTCTGGTTAGGACTTCATTAGCCCTAAATTTTGTAAATATATATTATAATATATATACAAGTCATAGAAATAGACATATGTGATAATAAGAAACCCCGTGTTATTATTTATTTAATTATTCACGATACGAGTTATCCATCCAGGCGAACCGTATCAAATTACTAGCTATAAAAAATAAGCGTTTAATACATTTTTAACAACCAAAGAATTCGTAAATTTTCAACTAAATAAATATTGTCAAAATTTGATCTTTAAATGGTTATAAAAAAAAACTTGCCTATGTATTTTTAATACTTTCCAACTGCTATTATATCAATTTATGGGGAACCTTGTATTAAATTTTCAAGTTTTTTGACCCAATGAATACAATTTTATTTATATTTATAGGATAAAAAGCTAACAAACAGAAAATTTCAAATGTCTATAAATTACTTATATATTATTGAAATATTTTGAAAATTTTATTCAAGTATAGGAATTGATAAAATAAACATATAGTGTACATTTAAAGTTTCTACAGTAATTTTTTTTTAATAATAACAAAAGAAAAATATCGGTAGAAGATAAATTGAGTGATATATATATATATATCCAATGTTGTAGTTCAAATGCTCATACAAATTTAATTTGGACTTTCTGGTAAACATTTTTTATTTGATAAAAGTAGAGAACTAATKACGAATCTTGTATTGAATTTTTAAACCTTAAATTTAAAAAGATACATTTTTAAGTATTTTTAACTCAAAATTAATTGCAAATTTTCGTGATTTTTACATATTTTGTCACAAAATTCAAATTTTAAATGCTTATTTTAAAAAATTGCTACTATGTATTTTTAATGTTTTTTAACTTTCTTTGTAACAATATATTAGGAGCCTTGTATTAAATGTTGAAGGTTTTTTACAAAACGAATACAATTTTATTGTCATTTGTAAAAAAAAAAAAAAAAACTTAAAAGATTTAAAATATTTTGAAAATTTTTATCAAGTATAGAAAATTCCATCATTAACATGTATTGAAAATTTCACGTGTCTACGTATTTTCCTTAGAGTTACACGGTTACACCAATATCAAAATTTAATATTTGAAACAACTCATGCTGGTTTGGCATCATCTTAAATAATTCAAATAGTTTTCTTGGTTTCAGTCGTTAATATAATGAAAGTAATAAAATATGAAAATACAATTTAAATCTGGAGATTTATATATTATATGTAAGTAGTAAAAAGTGCTATATTCGACAGATTTTCGAAATATAATATTTTTTACAAGTATGCGTTTCATTTTAAACGGTTATGTCAATTAATTTAGAGAAAACTCCAAGTATATATAATATATATATATATATATAATTATATAAATTTGAAAATAATTAAAAACATTAACTATTAGAATCATTTTTTTGGCAATGGTGTAAATGTATAATCTTCTATTTTTTGTATTCAATTAGAGCATTAACAAAATTGGTCATTATTTTACAATTATATATTATTAGTATCCACTGTCGACACATAACCTTACATTTTATTCTTCTCTTATGAAAAAAAGTAGGACGAACTAAGTACAACTATCTGGTCAATGATTCCTATCACAGTTTAGTACCTACTCGTCTCGCATCGCTCACCATTCAGTGGTAACTACTATGTTGAATAAATGAATATTGATTAAATATTTGAAAGCAGAGATAAATTATTTCATTTGAATACCGAATTTGTTTGTAACATACTGTTGTTTCTATAATAACTGTAAACTAAACAATATTCAATTCAGTCTTGGGTAAAATACTTTTTAAAAGTATTTGGAATAAATACCCGAATATTCATGAAAAATAGCATTCCGAATATGTATTCGAATTTCGAATACATCATAAAAATAGTATTCTGAATAAAGTATTTAGAATACTATAAAAATATTCCAAATACTTTTAAAATATTTTTTGTTAAAGATATTAATAAAATAATAATTGCTTTTGGGAAATTATAGCCAATGTTTAAATATATAATATATTGTTTGTAAATTAAAATTATAATATACCTAACTATAACTTTTTATGATTTATAATATTTATAATAATTATCTGCAATTATTATCTTCTATGAATAATATTAATAATATTATTAAAGTATAAAATCTTTTACCAGGACAGGCACAGTTGAAAACAATACATACTAAATAAGGAATGTAAAAAATATTTATTTAAACAAATTAACCAGAAAATCGCAAAATATTATTTTTTTTTCCGATAGAATATCATCATATTTTTGTTTGAGTGATATGATAGATGGCAATAAGTAACCAAAATATATATGTTTTTACACTTGTAATACATCTAGACACACACACACACACACACATGCAGAGGCTCCATTACTAGTAAATACTCGTCCAAATTATACATCGGCCTTAGAAAAACGGTTAACCTTAACAGCATCACATATCTTATAAAATTTAGAAGGGCTCATTTTAAAATGAATAATAAGAAATTTCATAGTATCAAACCAGGGATTCTAACGGGTATCATTAGGAGTTTTTAAGTATTCATCCAAATTGGTTTTAACTTTTAACTATGTCGGCCATTTGACTAGAACGGTTCTGTTTGTTCCAAATAGCTTGACATTTTGCAAATGTAGATGCTGAAATACTAAAATCCTAAAAAAAATATATTGTTATACTATTAAAGTATTCCGAATATAGTATTTAAGGTATTCTGAATACTGCATAAAATACTTTTAGGAAAAGTATTTTCAAAAATATTCTGAATACCTAAAAAGTATTCCGAATACTACCTAAGACTGATATTCATATTTATTTATCATTAAAATTAAAATTAAGTTTATTATTACTCTATTTGTTTCCCCATAATTTATGCCATCGTTAGTTTTTTTAAGAGTAAAAAAAAACATATTATACAATAATTCTAAATGTAATATCATATATAATTTTGTAGTTTTTTTGAAAAACCTAATATTGCAATTGAAATTTTAGTATTTTACAATACTGTCGATCATGTTCAATTTTCAATCGATTAAAAAAAAAATGCTAAAAACAATGTTAAATCATTGTCTAAAAAGAATTATTAGAAAAGAACGCATACTCGAGATCAAATTCAATAGGTAGGTTATATTATCAAAAAAGTTAGAAATATATCTGAATTCTAAACTATAATTGTTTTAATTATGTAAAAGGCATTTGGAGGACTCGAGACGTAGTCTTTTGAACATAGATAAAAAAAAAGTTAAACATAATATTATATGAGATAAATATATAGGTATACGAGTATTTTTAAATTTATTTTGCACTAAATTAGCGTATTTAAATTGATTTGAAAAATTGACTCACATCGTCAACAAATAACGATTGATCCTACATTGCATACAATTTTTTATTACAATTTTTTTTATTTTTTACTTACAATTTTTTCACAATCCTACACTCTCTATTGTACTTTGGAAATTTTAAATCTTTTTATAGCCTACTAAATATATACAATTTCATACATGATATAATATGTGTACTAGGTAGTATTTATGTAGGTAACTATTATAGGCGGAGATCATTGTAAATATTTGTGAATGGAGACTTAAATAAACTTATATCTTAAAAATATTATTTTTGATGCTTGAAATATATTTGAGAGGACTAAGCTCCTCAACCGATCACCGCATATGAAGAAACTTTACAAATATATATATTTAAAATATCTACACACTATATATTACACAAATGCCTAGATTAGTAGATTGGTATAAAAAAAATAATATTCAGTAGGTAACAATAAAGTTAGGTTAGGTTAAGCTTAACTATACACATAAATGTAGGTTATTTCTGAAAGGACATGTTAAATATTATTATAATTTATGTATAATACTATAATATGAATTATTAATAATACATAAAGATTAAAAATAATAATCAATATTAATACAAATTAACTACTGAAAATAAATTTATCTTGATAATGTGTGATTTATTTTAGATAGTTATTTAAGTAACTTGCAACTATTTATTTAGATGATTGTCAACAATATATCAAACTAAAACTTTAAATAAATTGTGGCATTAGTTCATTTTTTTCCACCAATATAGAATCTCCGCTGACTTAGATTTTTTGTATTGTTACATCGATCATTTTTAAAGCTAAAACTTTGTCACTTTCTTCATAGCATAATACTAAAATTATTCTTATCTTGTTTTTATTTTTATTTTAAATTTATATGTGCCGATTTTTTTTTTTTTTTGTGATGTCATGTAAAAAGGCCTTTTGGTTATTGCAAGTAAATAATTGTTTAGGTAGTTGGAATATTAAAGCGATCTCTACTGGTACGTCAAATATTTTAACAACAGTCGATATCTTTAGTTATCCGTCATGTTAATGTTTTTCTACATTTAATACGATAACCGTTAAAAGAAAAAGTGGGAAGCAATCGAATAATTATTATTCTTATAATCGTACCTACAAACATCTACGGGAAACGAACAAAACGCAATAATATTATGCAGCTGCCGAGTACCGCTTACATCTACTTATAACGATATTATATATGGAATTAAATGCTTATCCGAATTACATATTTACGCTTGTGCATACGTGAAAACCAGAAAACGCAACATAAGTTCGGTCACGGCTAAGCGCGCGCAGTTTTCCCGCGGCGGAGCGGACAGGGACAGTGTTGATATGCAGTAGGCACGTAMGCTGCCGAATCGGACGAAACTCGTCCATTATTTTCACGGTGCTCTGACCAGACGATAAGCGAGTGTGTATAAAAGCACCCGTTATCCAATTAAGAACCATCACATTCACACAGACGACTGGCGAGTCCACACCCGCGGCCAGACATTAATTAATGATAATAATCATACCACAACCGCGGTAAACGTGAAAATTCATCGCACAGTTTTCCTATTCCTACGAGAGACGGTGGCATTTTTTTTCGTATCGAGATATTAGCACTTTTAATTTTCAAATTAAAAGTGCTAATATCTCGATACGAAAAAAAAAATGTTTTCTCCCATCGCGACTTCGTTCGTTTGCGTCTGTCTGGCCGTTTTCGGTTCCACCGCTTCCGTGCCCGCGCAACAACCGCAGCAGCACCGACAAGAGGAAGGATTCGGCGCGGTCTTGTGGTCGGTGCTAGACGATTGTTTCGGAGACTTCGATTCGGTAACCGTATGCCTCAAGTCCAAAGCACTGACGGCCCTCGATCGGGCCCTYGGCAAGCCCGCTGTGACCTTAGCGGACGGCGTGACGCTGACCGCCAGAGCCGGAAAGTCACTGGCCGTCGACCCGCAGGCTGAACGGGCCGACCGCGCGGCCCTGGACGCCGCTCCGGACGCTGACAGCAAAAACGCCCTRCTGGATGACATGTTGGCCAGCCGCATGGACAGGCTCATGTCCACCAGGACCATCGAGCTGGACGGTGCCGACCAAGAAGGTGAGATAGCGCTGTACTTACAATATTGTAGATATCATCAAAATCATCGCCTAATAAATTAATATYWGTCGGGTTTTCACTCCTCTGCAGAGATCGCAAATTAATATTTTTGGGGATCGCTTTTTTGGTAGTGTTTGGGAACTACCAACAATGTATGTTCATTATGGCTATCCAAAGTAATGGCAAAATCAAAAAATTTTACCTATTAAAATCATTGAAAACCGTTTTCACATTATTTTGCCCCCATATAGCTGCATTCCTGCATTATATATCATAATATTGTACCTTATATTATATTTACTTTACGGGCACACACGGTAGTCGATAAAAATTTCAGGAATAGGCACAATTTCCTGCCGAATTAGCACGCACTGTTTACACGGACGTACGTTATTAAATTATGATCCTATGGTACGTGCTTGGGGTAGACAGTGGTGCGATTTTTTCATCTGTTTATCTGTCCGCCATGGTGTCATTGTGGTGATTATATTTTTATATTACGTTTATATGGCACGCCGTATCATCAGAATTCACGCTTGTTGGTATCTAGTATCTACCTCCATACGTTGCGACGTTTTCACCCGCATAATATGATTCATAAACGCGCAAGTACGACTGCAATACTGGATCGGCAGACTACCTTATACCATTTATACCTAAGTACCGCGTTGTCCTAAATGTCTACATATCTGATCTCTCCCGAAAATTTCCCTRCGTCGTAGCTGTGACGAGCCATTTAGACTATGTACAGTGTACACGATCGCGATTGTGTACCTTCGGAGCGCATACAATTTCTAATGCTCATGTTTACATAAATAAACTATTTTTTTTTTCATTATTTGTAACATACATTTCATGGTTATTAGCTGGTTTTTGCAGGGAGGGTGGTATGGTTGGTCCATAACACATATATGTGTGGCAAAGATTTGTCACTAAGAAAGAAAGAAATTGGGTGGGCATTCATCCGGGAAATGTGACATCAGCTRGTGCTGGCACCTAGAACAAGTTTGTGACTGAAAAAAATCATCATACCACAACAACCCACTAATATATATTGATAATAATTATTATAAATATATTATTATGTGTGCTATTCGATCTTTTCGGAAATTTATTAAATAGTATGGTGATCGGTGTTTCATCGTGGGCTGTGGCACAATAATCACATGTTATGAACAACGTGGATGGCCCTTAGCGCGGATTTTTGAAGATACTGAAATAAATTCCGACCATTATCTACAGGCTACAATCATTGACTTATCATATATGTCCCCCTCYCCCAGTGTATAGGGACCATAAACAGAAACCTAACCATAAAGAATTGAACAGAAAAAGTCAACGTGACAAAATACAGAACTAGTTTTATAAGTACCTATTACCGAGCCTGGGCATAAACGAGTTAAAAAGTTAAAGCTTTWATTTTAAATTTTTAACTTAACTTTCATAAACTTAATTTTTAACTTAACTTATTTTCATTGATATAAATAACGAGTTACTTTTAATCAAATTCAAGTTAAGTTAATTTATAAATCATAAAATAATAAATAAAATACAATTATTATTGATAATGCATACTACATAACCATTTCCTAGAATACAGAACTAKAAATAGTTAAATTTATTTCTTGTTCCATTAACCAGAATTCTTCAAAAACAATAATTTAATTAGATACATTTAGATATAGCAATAATATATTATAATATATAGGTATATCGTATATTTATATAAATAAATAAATATATATATATATACACCATACCATACTATGATACACGGGTATATTATAATAATTGATATTATGTATTATTATACTGATATAGATACATGAACATCACAAATGTAAAATATTCTCAAGAACATATTATAAAATGTTTTCGTCCTAAATAAGTTATTTTTAAATTAAAACTAATTGGATTATGTTCATATACATTTTATATGCTTTCGGYACCGGCTATACAATTATATTTATCAATACCTAAAGCTATTGGCTATTACCTATTTTCTGTTTTCAATAATATTAATGATTTTTATTATTTTAAACCATATTGCTGGGTATATATTATTATATATATAAATTTAATAATAATAATAATAATATTAACTTAACTTAAGTTAATAAGTTAATTGAAAATTTTCATAAATTTAACTTAACTCAGTTAAAAAAAAATRAGATTAACTGTTAACATTAAACTTTTTAAACATTTTTCCATTAACTTAATTTACCTTAGTTAAAAATTATCATTAAATTTCCCAGGCTTGCCTATTACTAAACATAAGTGCTTTTCTATACTGTACACGACAGAGACGCCAATTAACTTATTTCAACATATAGGTAGTTTAAATATTTTAAAACAACACGCCATATTAGTGCCGTAGGGGCACTGGGGGCACGTACCCCCCCCAACTTTTTCTTTTAGTTGTTATTGTTACTTTTTCACAATACTTTGTAAAACAATAATTTGTTATTTGTAATATTTAAATTTTTCTAACTGATTTGTTTAACTTAATTATAAAAAAAGCGGGTAAGTGGATGTCGCTCTGCTATACATTAGGGGGTGGGGTGGACCTCTGACTAGGGTAGGTTAAATTTGAATGCAATGATAGGTATCATTGTATACGAAAAACGATTCTGAACGGAGATGATTTGTAAGTCTAGGATATATTATATATAAATATTTTCATACATTCTATTTTGAAACAAATATTTTATTTTTCAATTAGGACGCATTTTGCATAAGGCATGGTTAATCAGTTTTTCCAAAAACATTGCATGTAGTTATCATAATTCATAATACTACCTTATATTATCATAGATAATATATACCTAGTTTGAGAATAAATTGTTATCGTTAGGTACGCGATTTCACAAACATTTAAAACTCAAACGCTCAAAACATTTTTCCTATAGTGAAGCTTCAAATTTTCTCTATAGCTATTTGAAGCAAAACTTATGGAAAACTTATTGTTGAATTTTATAACCTAAGATATAAATACAAACAATTTTATGAATTTTGAACTACAAAATAATTTGCAAATATTCATGGTTTTGACGATTTTTTGTCAAATGCTAAAAAAAAAATTGTGCCTATGCATTCTTATAAGTTTTAATCACTATAGGAATAACTTATGTGGAGCATTGTATTACATTTTCAAGTATTTTGATTTGGCCAAAGAAATTTTATCGACACTTCAAAAAAAAAAAAATTCAGAAAAATTGAAAATTTCAGTTGTCTATAAATATCTCAAAAAAAGTCAAAATATTTTGAAAATCAAATCATGTAAAGAAATTGCCAATCTAAATAACTGATAAAATTTTCAAGTATCTACAACTTATACTATTTGAATAATAACTAATATTTAAAATCGATTGAGGATAAATCATTACACTATTTCGTAAAAATTTAAAATTCAAACGCACTTAAAATTTTTCCTATAATGATGCTTCGAGTTTTCTCCATAGCTACTTAAAGGCAAATGTATGGAAAACATTGCAATGCAAACATTTGAGAAAAAAATAAGTGCCCCCCCCAAAAAAAAAAAAAAAATATATATATATTCTGGCTACGGCACTGCGTCATATTATCAGTGTTTTAAAAATATTAAATTTAGTTGTATTATCTATTTTACAAGTAGGTATAAACGTTGACAATACAAAATTAAAACTTAATTTTGACAAAAAACATTACGTAGGATATTCGCTATATACTATATTATACTATAGTATATTTTATACTATTATTATAGTTCAACATTTTTTTTATATTTAACGTTGGAGAACTATATTAAAATGTATATCAGACCCCCAACACTCGATCAAAATTAGAAATAGTAATAAAAAATTATTTAAAAACAGTGGGATAAATCATATTATTAATATATTTATTATCTGTGTGACCCACTGTGACCCATTCATTTCACTGCAGTAGCGGTTCTTCAGTTGAGGCCATGGATTTCAGTTGATGGCTGGTATGCATCTTTGGTTCTCGTAGATCTGATGACGAATAATTTTCTTGCTCGAAACATATCTGCAATTAAACATATTGTGTAAAAAAAAGTTTAAATTTACATAATATTTGGTATATGAAAGTCACATTATAAATTTATAAAWATATGAATAAATAAATAATATATGATGTTTAACTTGCTGGGAATCGGAAAATTGTAATCGGGCCACCCTGTCTATTATATTATTATCAATTATTATGTTTTTCATACCACAAAACGAGTAATAATAATGGACGAACGCTGTAATCTGTCGTGTAGGTCGCAAGAAGAAGGACAAAGGTATGCAACAAGCGATGATGATGGCTGGTATGACGGCTGCCGCTGTAATGGGACCGATGGCATTAAAAATCATCGCTTTAATCGCAGTCAAGGCACTGTTGATAAGTAAAATCGCATTAGTACTATCCGGGATTGTGGTACTCAAGAAACTTATGCAGTCCCAACAGGGAGGTGGTGGTCACGAAACCGAATCTCCGTCCCATCATCACGGCCGGAGCATGCAACTTGACGCCGGTGCTCACCACATGGCGTACTCGGGCCATAAGCAATAATAGCCACCGTGATATTCTAATTTATTTATTATTTATTWATTTCGTGTACTTAACCGAATTATTTATACTTTTTACTATTATTTATTAATCGTGTAATAGTTTTTTTTTATAAGACTATTTAGTCTAGAAAATTCAGTATTGCTTGTGTTGAAGATTTATTTTTAAGTAGATAGGCATTTATAAACAAATTATAATAAAATATACTCTTTTTTCTATTAGTTACTGTAGTTAAAATAAATCTGTTTAACAATTTCCACTTATTATTTATTTTTAGCTCCATCTTTAAAGCTTTAATTTATTGATTATATTTGACTCGATTGTCATAACTGATGGAAACGTTTTTAAGCCATTTTGAATGTTACACATGATTTAATTCTTTTTAGAACTGAAAAAGACCTCTCTGCTATAAATATTTAAATAGAACAGCAGAGATAATATATCTTTAATTCCTGACGAGAATGTCAACGCACTCGTTTTCTCCCGCTCTGCTCTACGTACAACATCGCAAGCTATACGACCAGTGGAAGAGTGGAACTAAATTTGCGTTGTTATTTTTAGTATTAGAGTGAATTAACCTGAGCTATTAAATTTAAAGTTAAGAAAATTATCTGTGTTTTAAAACTAAAATATTGAAATATTCCAGCGAACAAACACTGATAACGTTTTTAGCTTTAAGTTTGATGACAGGTCAACTTGCTATAACATTATAAAAGAAAAATCACAAGACTCGATGTTAGTTCTTTTGAACGCAAATGTATTATATGTTGTGGGCGGATCAAAGAAAAAAAAATAGTTGGTGGACATCCTATAAAGGCATTTTCAGCATATGGATAAAACTCTTAACAATCATTATCTATAATGTTGTTGAGTATATTAGAATTAGAATTTATATTGTAGCGACAAGGTACGATCATTAAGTTTAATTGCTGCCCAACCATATGGCGTCGTTACATTGGCTTTGGCATGTGCACGTGCTTATTATATGTACTTGATTGAAATCAAATTTATTACTCTAGAATGATTTTAGCTGTATGTGTATACAACATAAGATACCAAAATTATTAAAGACAACGATTTATTAATTGAAGTCGTACGTCATAGATGTTTTGGAAAGTTACAGAATTTAGTTTGTTCCTTCAMGAGATAATTTTGAATAACTATTTTTAAACAGCTGTCTACAACAAGCCCAAACGTCGTGTCCGTAACACGTCAAGCCTCTCCTTACTGCAGCAATACATTATTGTTGTAAAAATAACATAAAGAAGGTGTTAACTAGTTATTAAGGTAAATATGATCAACAAGATTGCATTTAACAAAAAAGTATATATAAAGCCATAAAGGTAAAGGTTTACAAGAAAATTACATTCCAGACTCCAGGGCTGATGTAATGTGATGCACAAAATGTGAAAGCCTGAGTTATGCTATTGCACTATTCTATACTACACCTGGCCACTCCCAAACTCAATCCTCTGAAAATTATATAAAAAGTAAATAATGTTATTTTATTTTAGGGCAGATAATGTTCAAGTCACCTGGGTATGAAATGCTACCTGCGTAAACTTCGAAACAAACGCGGCCTAATGTAGTTGTCATTAATTATTATTGACGGTTGTTTAAAATAAATTACATTATTTAATATATTATATCATGTAGTGATTACGTTAAGTGCATCGATGAAATTCACAATATCATAAATTTATAATATAGCACAAATAACATAATATGCACACATTTTCATCTGGTTTTTTTTTTTTTAGTGCGTTAACACCTAATATTATACTCATTACTCGCGTTTCCACAGTAACAATACGCGAGTTTGTATTGCTTAGAAAACGAACTATTTTGTATTTCATTAGATAATTTTTCATTTACATTATTATCTTTATAATAATCCTGAACTATACATTAATTGTCGTCAATCCTTAGTATCCGAATTTGCGTCAGCATCGTTAATGGTTAGCCGTGATAACCGCAGACCATCTAAATATTCTGCGATAAGTCATTACGGTAAAATTTCTGTCTATGGTGGCAGTTCGTTGTTTCGGAACTTAAATTTCCATTTGTCGTTCGTCAACAAGTTTTTTCATTGTTGATTACAAGTCCATCGGAAGAAACTGCTCCATTTATAAAGATAAATCATCGATGAATTGCATAAGACCATGTAGCAACCATTAAAGAAAAGTAATCCGGAAACTGCCGCAGAACACTATGGACAATTGTGGTGGATCTCAATTGCACTGCAAATGTTCGCCGATGGTAGAACTGCTTAATGGCATCATGGCCAGGCGTGGTAAATTGGTTAAATACACTATGCTCTCCGCGGCGGGCCTAATTCCATCTAAGGTCCACACGTGTAGTGCCATATGTGGGGATCTCGAAACTTACGGATGCGGGTTGACAGTGGACGAAGCAATTGAAAATGCGGCTAATAAATTTTTGGAGAAGCTTTCCTCTGTAGCTCATGTACATRCCTCTGTGCAAAATGATGACCATTTAGTAAATTCATTGAATTCATTAAGGCTAGAGAGTAAAGTTAATGYGATATCTAATAACTACGTTGGTACACTGCAAGAGTATTGTCAAGCTTATCATTTGGATATGCCAAAATATGAATACTATCAAGATAATGACATTAAAAATAAAAGGAGATTGTATTACGTTATATGTTCCTTTGGGCCTCATAAATTTACAGGTGTAGGGTTATCCAAGCAAATTGCAAAAAAATATGCCGCTCGTTTGATGTATAACCAAATTAATTCAAATTATGCTGCGACCAATAATACTTCAACGTCGAATTCTATAAAAAATAAATTGATAGATTTCGGTGAAGGTTTGTCGAGAAATGAAGCTAAAAACAACTCTATGGACTTAAATTTGAACCAGATATACCTCGGAACAAAAAAAGTTGAAACGTTTATCAATTATATTGGTAAACTCCAAGAGATATGCATAGCTCGTGGTTGGGGATTACCAAAATATGATTTTCACCGAGAAAATATTAATGAAATCAGTATAATATATTATTCCGTCATATGTTCCGTAGAGTCCTACAAATCTAAGGGTATCGGTAATTCCAAGAAAGTCGCAAAAAATAAAGCTGCTCAATTGGTGTATGCCCAAATTGATTTGGATCCACAGAAAATCTCTATAATTCATAGCGATTTCAAACAGGATAAATCTTATCAGTTAGGCATGCGAAATCTGAGATATGTCGATCCGTGTGAATATATTCAACAAGTGAAATTATTGTGTAACCAATTATCATTATCTAAAAAAGAATGTATGCAAAGACTAAAAAGATGCTATTCCTTGGGTTACATTGATATTGATATGAGTTTATTTGAATTTTTGAAAAAACTTGCACACCAAGAAGACCTAAGTATCACATATGAACGATTTTCTAATAATGATAATGACACACAAGTRTATGGAATAATTTATATCCAATCATCAACTAAATATGGCATGACGAATATAGGTAATGGAAAAACAGATGCAGAGGCAAAAAATGTGAGTGCCAAAAGCATATTAGCTTTCATCAAAAACACTATATCAATGATATGAAATAAATTATATTATGTATCATTCAATGACTCAATTTTTGTTAAATAGTTATAAATATATTTATCTTTATATATTATTAAAACGTGAGGCGATTTATTATGATAGTTATAATCTCAAGTTCTACTTGACCGATTTTTATGATATCTTTTTCTAACGCAAKTACTTGGTGTGTAGATGAAAAAAGAGAAAGMGAAAAGTCTATCAAATTAATTGAAATTATTGGAAGTATAAAGTTGGCCGTATTGGTACATAGCGACGCCCGTTGCTTGCCGCGCGTGTACACTCACACATCCTTACAACCTCCACTACTCTTACGTCTGCTGCAACACTGTTGTGTCATCGTYGGCAGCTATGACGTGCGTTGCTGTTTGGCATAAACATTAAAATTGTGTCTATAACAGTGAAATTGTTTTATGATATATATATGAATATTATATTTAAATTTAGTATATTCGATTTAGAGTTGTTAAATTGGTGATATTGTGGTTACATTCATCATTCGATCGTCAGGATTTTAACTTAGAAAAAGAAACAATGACACTATGACAGCATTTAAACATAATGTCTATACACATTGAACGCTCCAAACTTGGCGGATGGTGACAGTTAGATAGACTAACTGCTATTACAATTATTACAAGATATTAAAATAGTAAAAAATGGTATCCGTTGTCTCCGTGGTCTGCGCAACGCATGGCGATAACACAAATATAAAAAACATAAATACTTCTTCTTCTTCTTTTCCTTCGCCTTCGCCTTCTCATCCAACTATTTGGGTCGGCCATCTCTCCACTTCATCCCGGGGTTGGTAAATTGAGTCCCGGAAAAAATAAGGCAGTAGGTAATTTGAGTCCCAGAGAAAAACGATTTATATGCA